GTAGCAGCACTATTTACAATAGCTAAGATCTGGAAACAGCCCAAATGTCCATCAGTAGACGAATGAATAAAAAAGCTGTGGTACATTTACACAATGGAGTACTATGCAGCTGTAAGAAAGAAAGATCTCTTATCCTTTGAGATGACCTGGAGGGACCTGGAAAGTATTATCCTAAGCAAAACAAGCCAAACAGAGAAAGATAAATATCATATGATCTCACTTATTTATGGAATATAATGAACATAACAGTCTGAGGAACAGGGTAGTCCCAGAGACGTGGAAGACTGACAATCACCAGAAGACAGGGTGGTGGGGGCGAGATAAACCACAGAACTTATATGCATGTGTGCATGAACAATGGACATAGACAACAAAGCTGGGGAAAGAGCGGGGAAGGAGGGGGAAGGAATCAGTGGGGGAAAAATGAGAAACATCTGTAACAAAAATAAATTAATTAATTAAAAAATAATTAAATCAACATGATTCTAGTACTCTATAATCAAGAGATGTATAAGAGACTAGATGGCCTAGAAATATGCCCTATTATACATTTTTACATACATATATTATAAAGGAGGCACTACAAATCATGGTGAAAAGATAAATTATGAAATAAATTTTGTGGAAAAAATTGGTTAACTATTTCGAAATTATCTTTGTAGTTTTTAATTGTTCTCAACCACTAGGCATCAAAATTTCCTTTTCTGGTTTAATATAAAAATTCAAAATTTATGAAGTGTTAAATTTTTTAAAAGTCAAACCATAAAAAATCTAGACATACAGGCATAGCAATCACATTTTTAATATTTCAGTGCCTTCTAAGTTTAAAAGCAGAAGGATTCACAAAGAAAAAGATATTTAGACTTTAAAAGAAAGATATTTTAAATAATTAATAGATGAAAATTTTCTAAATCTGACAAAAATATAGATATCAAAATACTCAGCAAAACCCAGGCAGGATAAGTAAAAATGAAACCTCATCAAGTCACATTATGGTTAAAATGCTATTTTCCAATGTTACTTAGGTTAGTTTTTTCTCTTCCCCAACTCCTTCAGGTGATTATGTTATCATTTGTAAAACAGTTATGTTCATTTGTCACAGTGTATATTCTACTCTGGAAATATATATACACTTTCTGTTTTTAATTATTTTCTTTAGGGATTTGAAACATTATCATGGTTTTAAGAGTCAGAACTATAGTCTGGCTGGTGTGGCTCAGTAGTTGAGCATCAACCCATGCACCAAGAGGTCACCAGTTTGATTCCTAGTCAAGACACATGCCCAATTTGTGGGCCAAATCCCCAGTGTGGGGCATGCAGGAGGTGGCCAATTGATGTTCTCTCTCATTGATGTTTCTATCTCTCTCTCCCTCTCACTTCCTCTCTCTAAAATCAATAAAGGAGTGGGGAGGGAAAAGGAAGGGGGAATCAGTGGGGGGAAAAGTAGAAACAAAAATAAATTAATTAATTTAAAAAATACATAAATAAAATCAATAAAGAAAAAAAATTTATAAAAAAAATTTTTTAAAGAGTCAGAACTATAAAAATGTATACTCAAAGAACTGTCACTGTCCCCTCATCCCTCTACCCCATCCTCATTCTCCCATTCTTTGTTTCCTGCTCCCACCCACCCCCAAGCCCCATAGGTAAACAATGTCATTAATTTCTGGTTTATCCTGTGTTTATTTTTGCACAAATGAGCATGTGTCTGTCTATATGTATATGTGTGTGTGTATCTATATATTTGTATCTATATCTATATACATATCTATCTATATATATAAATATAAGAATTTCTTAAACAAGATAGAGAAACTACTAACCACAAAGGGGAAAATAATTTACTACACTTAAAAAAATGTCTGTTTATCAAAAAACACCTTTTAAAGATTGGAAGGGATAAAAAGCAAAGACCAGGAAAAGATATTTACAATACATTTATCTAACAAAGATTCATATGCTTATAATTAGACTATTTCAAAAAACAAAAACAAAAACCTCATCCAAATTGCTAAGAAAAAGACAGATGGGCCAAAAAACAGAACAGGCACTTTACCAAGCAGGATGTGCAAGTGACTGATAAATATACTAAAAAGGTGAGCAATTTCACTGCTCACCAGGGAAATGTAAATTAAAGCAGAAATGTGATACTACTACATACCCACTAAATGGTTAAAATGAAAAGGAGAATTAGTGAGAATATGGAACAACTGGAACGCTCATACACTGGTGGCAGTATCACTTGGTACAATTTTGTAAAACTGTTTGTCAGTATCTAGTAAAGCTGAACATATGCATACCCTATAACCCAAAACTTCTACTCCTGGCCCCCATTGAAACATGCTTCCTTGTATCCATATCCCTTTACAATATAATGCTGCTGCTGGTCCCTGCAAGAGATGGAGTTTTCCTAACGCCTTTGAATCTGCAGCTGACCTTGTGATGGACTTTGACAAACAAAATATGGCAGAACTGATTTTGTGTGAGTTCCAGAGCAGAGACCTCAAGAGGCCTTGCAAGCTTCTGGCTTTGCCCTCTTGGGATCCAGCTGCCATGTAAAGAAGTCCAGAATACCCTGTTGGACAGAAAGTCTGGATGAGGAGAATTAAGGCGTCCAAGTTCATAGCTAACACTGAAAAGTCCCAGACATGTAAGTAAAATCATTTGGACCTCCCTGCCCCACCCAGCTAGGCTGAGTGAGCAGAACTGATACCACCTGAAGCAAAGACAAGTCATCCCCACTGAGCCCAGTTCAAATGCCTGACTCACAGAATCATAAAAATTAAAATTGCTTTTGTTTTTAAGCCACTAAATTTTGGAGTGGTTTGTTGTACAGAAATAGATAACTGAAAATGAGTACATAGCAAAAGAAAAGAATGCAACCCAGCTGGTGTGGCTCAGTTGGTTGGGCATTGTTATATGCATCAGGAAGTCACTGGTTCAATTCCCAGTCAGGGCACATGCCCAGGATGTGGGCTCAATGTGGAGGCTGCAGGGGACAGCCGATCAATGTTTCTATCTCTCTCTCCCTTACTCTCTCTAAAATCAATAAAAACATATTTTTTAAAAAAGAGTACATATGTTCACCAAAGTGGTCATGTATAAGAATATGCATAGCAGTACCATTTAAATTACCAAAACTGAAAACAACTCAAAAGTCCACAAATAGTAGAATGGATAAATTTTGGTATATGCATAATATGGAATGTTATTCAGCGATAAGAATGACCAAATTGCAACAACATGGATGACTCTCACGAATACTGTGTTGTGTAAAAGAAGCCAGACTCAAAGCTCTATGCTTCCACTTATTTAGAGAAGTTCAAAAACAAGTAAAATTAATCTGGAATATAGACGTCAGAAAATAGTGATAAGGGAAGTGGGTAGTGACTGGAGAGGGACAGGAGGTTTCTGTGGCTCTAATAATGGCTCATTTCTTATTCTGGGTGCAGGATACAAGGGTATGTTACTTTGAGAAAATCTATTGAGTCATATAACTTATGATTTGTGTATTTTTCTGTAATGTGAAGTTTATATAAGATTAAGCCACTGTCTCCTTCTTCGATAAAATTTTAAATATATTTTTAAGTCACCTGCAGAATTTTTAAATGTAGATAAAAAAAAAATCAGAGCCTTGCCCTGGCCAGTTTGGCTCAGCGGTTAGAGTGTTGGCCTGCGGTCCAGAGAGACCCGACTTCGGTTCCCGCTAAGGGCATGTACCTCGGTTGCAGTTTGTCCCCAGCCCTGGTTGGTCGTGCGGGTGGCAGCCACTCAATGTGTCCCTTTCACGTCGATGTTTCTCTTTCTCTTTTCCTCTCTCTCCCTCCCACTCTGTCTGAACAAAAGATGGAAAAAATGTCCTCGGGTGAGGATAAAAAAATAAAATAAAATAAAAAATAAAAATAAAAAATCAGAGCCTGAATAAATATCTCTGGGCTGGAACCCAGCCATCTGTGGCTATGAATCTCCATAAGTGTTTCTGATGCACAGTCCAGATTGAAATATTAGGTCATTAGCAGAAAGAGTGCTGCTTCACTTCATCATTATTATATTTCTTCTCAGAAATATTTTTGCCAAAGAACATGAAACAACCCTTGAAATTGCAATTATCTAAAAGAAAGAAAATGGCAAAATACCTACTTCCACCCACTCCCCACTCCTCAGGTTTGGCTATTCCACCATTCAAAAAGCTTCCATAAATCATTAAATGCTTTAATTAGTTTTATACATGTGTACTTAGCTCAAAGCATGCCATTAAACCACCATTCTTTTGCCTCTTCTGAGGGTGTTCACTAGATTATTTAAAATATGCTCTTAGATGTCACAAACATTTAATTAGAACAAAGAATGGTTGCCTAAAATTAAAGAAAAAAAGGTTTAAAGTCTACACCTCTTTGAAGATTATAGGCAGGTCTTAATTTGCAGGAGAATTACATGACTTGTGAAAAACTATTATTTTAAAATCATTTTGGAGCCACACCTATATTGCCTGTCTCTGAAATGATTCGTTTAGTCATTTGACTAAATAAATGAGATCGATAAATAGACAGACAGATAGGTATCCATACAGAAAACAGACATGATGGCGCCAACTGTGTTTAATCCACCAGTTCCTCAAGATCTGTTTCATGAAATACTCAAGATATTTTTATCTCTCAGCACAAAAGTTTCATGGATAAAAAATAAGGTCTTCCTTACTAAGCTACTATTGTACATCAATAGATTGTGGTTCAGAGAAGGTATTCAACAAATTAACATCAAATAAAACTTAATTCATTTTTTTTGAAAGTCAAAGAATTAAATGGTCAATTCAGTTGACACCCATCAGAGAAGAAAAAGCCAGCTGAATTGATTTCACTGGTTGTTTGGTGTTACATAGACAAGATAGGTGGGTATCTTTTACATTGTTTAGTATTCTTCTATCTTCAGAGTTTACATCCCTTGATGAGAACAATTCAATATCTAATGACTGCTTTTCAAAAGACTAAAATTTTACTTACTTGGATCTTTCTGTTGTATATGTGTGTAGTTTTCCAACATGAAGGAAAAGAAATTGGATAACTGGACAAAATAAAAATACATTAATCAATTTATGAACTCCAAACAGCTACTGTAACAAATGCTATTTGGTGTTTAATGCAAGTCCCCTTTACTCTTCTAGGGCACTCATTTCCCAGCTGCCATACACAGGTCCCACCTCTACCCGGCCCCTCCTCCCAAGGATTGCCCTTGGCAGATAGGCAGCACCTTCCTGAGCTACACAGGATATCACATATCTGTCCTCCTGGGGGTCTTCCCATAGAAAATGACTAACTGAAGCAAGAGTATTACAGTCCAGCCCCCCACCTTCCTTGCCACTGGGTGGGATAAACTGTGATGCTTTTCACACTTCAGAGCCCCAATGGGATCAGGCTGAGGTCAAACTTCTCCAGAAACCACATTTTTGCCTGGTTTCGTCCCCTGTCTAATACTGTTTTCCTCACTTCTTTAAGGTTTTTCCTGAGAACACTCTCTTAGGAAATCACTTGTCATAGAATCCCTGTCTTAGATTCAGCTTCTAGGAAACCGACCTAAGACAGCTACTAGATTTTGTTCATTATGATCTCTTCATTTCCTTTTGGTAGTGAGAAGAAGAGTTAAGGAATACTCTGAAATGTCAAATATATGTGGGAAATAAAATAAGGAAGGAGGGAGGGAGGGAAAGATGGAAATCCACCAGCACGCTAGCCATCACCTAGATGATGTCTCTATGCCCACCAATTACCTGCAACGATCTGCATTTATAAAGCACAAATAACTTCTCTAAGCCCTGCCTCCCATAAAGAGTGAACACTAAGGAATCTTACCAACCTGGGAGTAGGTCTGGGAGTTGAAGGAAGGAAGACTTTCCATACAAATATCAAAATATATAATTTTAATACTCTTGATGGGTTTGTCAATTAAGAGTTAATAGAAACCACAATGTAATGCCACTTCACCCACACTAGGATGGCTATCATAAAAAAGACAGATAATAACAAGTGTTGTCAAAGATGTGGTGAAATTGGATCCCTCATACACTGCTGGTGGGAATGTAAAATGGTGCAGCTGCTTTGGAAAACAATTTAACAAAAAGTTAAACACAGAGTTCCCAAATGACCCAACAATTCCACTTCTAGGTATATACCCAAGAAAACTGAAAATATATGTTCTCATAAAAACACACACAAATATTCACAGCAGCATTATTTATAATAGCCCCAAAGTGGAAACAATTCAAATTATCTATCCACTGAGAAGTGGGTTAAGAAATGTGCAATACCCATACAATGGAATATTATTCTGCCATAAAAAGGAATGAAGTGCTGATACATGCTACATACAACATGGATGAACATTGAAGACATTATGCTAAGTAAAATAAGTCAGACACAAAAGGATCATATTTTGTGTGATTCCCTGTATATGAAATGGTGAGAAAAGGCAAATCCATAAAGACAGAAAACAGATTAGTGGTTGCCAGGGGCTTGGGAAGTGGGAGGAATGGGGAGTGACTGTGAATGAGTATAGAGCTTATTTGCAGGAAGAGGGGGTGATGAAAAGGTTCTAAAATTTATTGTGGTGATGGTTACAACTTTGGGAATATAATAAAGGCCATTAAATTTTATACTTTAACTGAAATGTATCTCAATAAATCTACAATTAAAAGAGTCAACATCAAAGAATGTGCTAATACTAGAATGTGTGCATACAAAGCATATCAATTTGAAAGCTCACTCTACCTTTATACTCAGCACTATATTCTGTAGTGCTTAAAAGGACAGCCCACACTGTGAGCTCCTAATCAGGGCAAAGGGAGAATATGACTGAAGCATATCATTTTTATAGCTGCCAAGAATAAATCCAGCAATTTCTTTTATTCTTTTTTAAAATGTTCTTAATTTTTTAAAGATTATGTAATAAATTTACATATAAATATGATTGTTGAAAACTACAAACAATACAGAATGAAAATGAGAATTCCTCTCCCACCCACTCCCACCCATCAATACCACTCCTGTCCCCAGAAATAACCACTGGAAACATTTCATTGTATAGCTTTCTCCAGACTTTTGCTGTATGTTTAATTTTATTTCATATATATGGGATAAAACCCTACATATTGTTCTATAAGTTGATTTTTTTAACAATTATGAGATCTTTCTAAGATATTTTTATTATTAAGAAGTACTTTTTTTCACCCTGGCCAGTTTTTCTCAGTGGTTAGAGCATTGTCCTGCGGTCCAAAGAGACCAGGTTTGGTTCCTGCTAAGGGCATGTACCTCAGTTACAGTTTGTTCCCGGCCCTGGTTGGGTCATGCCGGTGGCAGCCACTTAATGGGTTCCTTTCACATCGACGTTTCTCTCTCTCTCTCTCTCTCTCTCTCTCTCTCTCTCTTCCTCTCTCTCCCTCCTGTTCTATCTGAACAAAAAATGGAAAATTGTCCTCAGGTGAGGATAAAATAAATAAATAAATAAATAAAATGATAGTATTAAAATATGGTGTGTAATTTAAATAAATAAATAAAAAGAAGTACTTTTTTCTATCAATAAGCATTAAAGCTGGATTTATATATCATTTTTTGCAAGTTTGAAAAAGCCTTCCTCACCCATCTATATTTTCTCCTAGAACTTTCATAAGTTTGTTCCCAGGAAATTCTTTTAGTTTTTAACTTCTTAAAGTATGTTTTTCTTCATAAAGTAACAACTTTACTTCCTACTGGGGTACATCCCCCAAAACAAAATAAGACCATTGTTATTAGTTAACTAGACTCTGGCAGCCCTCCTAAAAATGTGAACTTCAGCCCTGGCCTGTTTGGCTCAACAATTAGAGCGTTGGCCCATAGACCAAAGAGTCGTGGTTTCAATTCCAGTCAAGGGCATGTACCTCGGTTGTGGCTTGGTCCCAGGCCCTGGTTGGGGTCGTGTGGGAGGCAACCAATCAATGTGTCTCTCTCATATCAGTGTTTCTTTCTCTTTCTCTCTCTCTCTCTCCCTCCCTCCCTATCGTTTACTCTCTCTCCCTCCCACTCCATCCGAAGACTAAGGGGGGAAAAATATCCTCAGGTGAGGATTTTTTTAAAAAAGTGAACTTCAGAACTGAAAAATACCATCCTCATCCTAAATCATATTCTCTCTCAACAGCTAATTCCAAGACAATGTCACTATATTTTCTATTAAAGTGTTTCACCAAGGTTCCTCAGCTTAAAATGGCCTCAACCTGTCATTCTTTCAATAACAAGGAGTAAAGAGAAGCATTTTACCAAAAGAAGAGGCAAGCTTACAAAACAGACCTGTAATTGACCTTGTTCATCAGCATATTCAATGGACTGGAAGATGGTGAGAGCATAACGTTGTCTGGCCTTCAACCGAGCTCTGTAACCTCGGTACCAATTTTGGATGACCAATGCGGCTCTTATTGCTGCAGACACACAGGATATAAAAGTCAAAGAAAAACAATTACTATGCAGCGATGGGGGTGGGGGGTGAGGTAGGCACTTCAGGGAAAAAAAAATCAGTCCACCTATATTCCTCAGTTCTACAAACATAAGAACTACAATGAGACCTACCTTCATATTTTTGAAAAATGTCATCAAGTCTCAAACATTCAGAGAAGAATGATGGCATAAACATTAAGAGTAGAATTTTTGGAGCAAAACTGCCTGAATTTGAATTCCAGCTCTGCCAATTACTATGTGACTTTGGGTAAGTTATTAAAACTCTCAAAGCCTCAGTTCCCTTATCTGTAAAATGGTGATAACAGCACTTACCTATGGCACTACTTAAGCATATGAAGTCTACGTCTGCCCTGTTCTTCACTGTATACCCCAAAGAAATTCTCACACAGTCCATAAAGGAGACATATGGCAATACAATGCTTCTTTGTGGCAGTAGGAAGTTTGACACTAACACAACCCGGCTGTCAATCGCTAGGAAGGAGAATGTGTAACTGTGGTGGCTGCACACTATAGAATATGACACCACACGTGGAAGCAATAGATTAAATAAACCTGTAGCAACACAAGTGGGTCTTTAAAAAACGGTGATTCAGCCTAGCTGGTGTGGCTCAGTGGTTGAGCATCAACCCATGCACCAAGAGGTCGCCGGTTCAATTCCGGTCAGGGCACAAGCCCAGGTTGTGGGCCAAATCCCCAGTGGGGGGCACGCAGGAGGTGGCCAATCGATGTTCTCGCTCATCAATGTTTCTATCTCTCTCTCCCTCTCCTTTCCTCTCTCTCTAAAATCAATAAAAGAAAAATGGTGATTCAGTTAGAACAGGTAATAACAAGTTAGAGACAGAAATATATCATTAAATATAATATGATACCATTTCATATAAATTTAAAATGCACAAACACAAAACCACAATATACATTTCATAAGAATATATACAAAGGAAAAGATACCCACTAAACATAATAGATTGGTTATTTATGGGAGGAGGGTGAATGAGCATCAGGTACATGGATAAAAGGTTAAACAAGTAAATTAATTAACTAACATAAGAAAGGGTCTTGCACAAACCAATGACAACAATGCACAATTAATTGAGAAGTATGATTCACTCCACCTTCCACACCTGAGTTTCAACTGATAGACAACAGATGGAAATGAATACACCTCCCCCTTTATAGAGCTACTATAAGAACAAAATGAGATACTATAGGGAAAGAGTTTAGCCCAATGCCTGATGTAAAGCACATACTAAATAAATGGCGACTATAATGATAAGTACTGTCTTGTTTGTGGATTATTCAGGCATGCTGACTCTCTTCTGGTAACCTTTGAACCATCCTGTAGCTTTATAGTTTTGAAGAAAGAGATCGGGTGAAAGATGAGATTTAAAATATAGTCTCTTATGCCTTCCTCAAGTTTTAGAATGAATAGCAATCAACACCAGCTGGCTCCTTTTATTCATGCTATAATTTTTCCCAGTTAGCACATAAAAATTAAGAGTTGACTATAACGAGAACAATTTGAGATTTGAAAGTAGGAATCCAGCCTCCAGTCCCAGCATATTTGGTTTAGTACTGCTATGGTACATGGAGTAGACACTAATCATCTGAGGGTGTTTATTTATGAGCTCCCTCAAGGCTCTTGGGTTTCAGAGACTCTCATTTCATTATTCAGCTTTCAGAAAACCCCAGGAAACAGACATAACGTCAAGTGTCAAAATCTTTATAGGGAGAAAATATCAAGTAACTTGTTCAGTATTGCAAAGCAAATAACTAGTGGTACCATGGCTGAAATCTCATGTTTTTACCATATCCTTATGGACAGTCCAGGCTCACCTGAAAGTTGTGTTCTGTAGAATACTCACTGTCATGACCAACCAACCCTCACCTCAGTGGTTTTTTGTTCACCAAGCAAAATGTTCCAGTGCTACTTACTGAGCACTTACTGAAGGCCAGGCAATAGGTTCATTCCTGCAGCCCTTGCCGCGCTGTGAATCTGAGAAAGACTAACTTAATTAAGGTCACCTAGCCAATAAGTGAAAATGGACAGCAAGGAATTGAATCAAAGTCTCACTGACCCCATAGCCCAAACTCTTAACCTCCACAGAGCTATTGACCTTTTTCTATGTCTCAGTTTCTTCATCTGCACAAGATGGAGTGAAATAAATAATCTCTAAAGTCTCTTCTATTTACTATTAGCAAAATCAATAATAAATAATCAAGCTTATTATCATTTCTATAATTGATAATTGAACAAAATAGCTACCATATGTTGAGGGTCTCCTACAAGACATTAATCCCAAGTATTATCATCTCCATGTTACAAAAAAGGAAACTTCAGGTTTAGAAAAGTAAGGATCTTGCTCAAATCATTTACCTAGTACGGACTCAGGTCTTCTAAGTCAAAACCCTGGGCTCTCTCCACAATATATAGCCAGTTATATCATTCCCTGCTCTATTTGTACCTTTTCTTTCTTTGAATAATAGCCATCATTTATTGAGTGCCTACTATGTGCCTGGCACTAAGCCAGACACATTACATATGGCAGTACTTTTACTCCTCCCCCACAAGAGGAAAGAGGCTATCTAAGTCTCCTCTCCCATCTCTGTCTTTCAGGGACTGCAGCCCACTCCCCAGAAGAGGAGTTATTTTGTTTGGTAAGCACGCATTACATTCATGGGCTTTCTTTTACTATCGGGTGTGGGTACCGGGCCTTGGAAGGTAGACAGCTATGCTCAGTTCCCTGTCTCTTACACTTCCTCTTCTTCTCCAAAGTCAATAAGCTGAGCCAGTCTTGACCCCAACTTGGGAATCCGCCATCTTCGTTTAGGCTTACATTCCTATACCTGAGCCCCTACACCTGAGCATGAATGCCACTTACTAAGCTATCTATCACCTCTCACCCCATGCTTCTCAATTCTAATCAGCTGGCTGATGCTGGAGGCTGGGACTCCGCAGGCCACATTTCCACTGTGCCAACTGCTCCATGTTTGGTTCTGTCAATAGGAGAGGGAAGGGGACTGGCAGAGCAGGAATGGGCATAACAACATCAGACTTCTAAAACTTCACCACCATAGGGCACTCAAGCCAGCTCAGGACCTTCCTCTGGAGCAGAAACCTCCCAAATGGCAAAGGGAAGAGCCCATATAGACCCTATGCCAGGGGGGCCACTGACTCCATAACTCCCAACCCTGCCCATGGAGGAAAAGATCTGTGTTGTCCAGTTCCGAACTCATTGGACAGCTTAGATCTCTTCTGGTCCTGCTGCTTCATGGTGTAACAGAATTTGTCATCCCCGTCACATTAACTCTATGCAGAAAAAGAGAAAAATAATAGCTATTGCCTTGCCCTGGCCAGTGTTGCTAAGTGGTTAGAGCGTGGGTCCCTGCACACCGAAGGGTTTCAGGTTCAATCCTCGTCCCCAATCAGGGTCGTGCTAGAGGCAACCAATCAATGTGTCTCTCTCACATTATCTCTGTCTCTGTCTCTCACTCTCAAAATCAAAATCAATGGAAAAAATATCCTCAGGTGAGGATTAACAACAACAACAAAACTATTGCCTTATGTATCTCAAAGGTCTTCTGTTTTGTTTCTGGAAGGAAGCAACAGCATAGGTTTAATAAGTTACCTTGCCAATTTTCTGTGTCCAGCACAGGTAGTTTCTGTATTGCCAAACTGTTTTGGTTGTTATTTTTGAATGGATTATTTCCTTCGGTTGTGATCATTATCATGATGTTTTGCAAGAAGCTACATATCCATGTAGCGGGTCAATGAGTAAAACAAATGATAAATTCAGAGCATTTTGCTTTATGGTGACAGGCACTGTGCTTGATGCTTTGTATGGATGATTTGATTTTATTAGCCCACCCAACAATCCTATGAAGTTATCCTCATTTTACAAAAAGGAAACTGACGTTCAGATTAATTTATTTGGGGTCACATCGCTTATCAGTGGGAGAAGGTAGAGTCAAATCCAGATGTCTGTAATTTCAGAACCTGGGCTCATATCATTTTGCAATACAACCCAGAGTGGCATTTGGAATCAGTCATAAAAAATGAGACAGTATGTAGAATAATAGCTCCCTCCCACACCTCCCCACCACATGTTTCCTATACTGTTTGCCTGATTTCTTATTCTCCACAGCACTTTTTACCATCTGACATTCCATATAGTCATATGTTTGTGCTTATTGTCTATCATCCCCTAGTAGCTTAGCTACATGAGAATACAGAGTTTATTTTGTTCACTGCTATATTCCCAGCACCTAGGGAGAGGCCTTTCTAGGGCTGTTATAATAATACATTAGTAATGTGTTAATATAGGTATTAGTAATATATTAACTGATATATAATTAATTATATAATTAATATAAAATGCTTAGTACATTGTCTGTCATATAATAAATGATAGAATACTTATTTTGAAGAATGAGGCAGGAACAACAGATAATTCTCTTTCCAGGCTAACAAGTTGTAGTGCCCCCATAGACTTCCTAATTAGACATGATATTTCATTAAAAATTCACAAACTACTGTGGACAAAACAGGCTCCCATCTTAGAACCCAAGAACCAGGAGCAAGAAGAGCCCGTGCCAATCAGGACCCACAGGGCTCACTCCCTTAGAGAGTAGTTTCAGCTCAAGAGTCACCTTCTCCGTGAGGCCTTTCCTGACCACCCTTTTTAAAATGGCATCCTTCTCCCATTGCCTACTCCTTCCTTATTTTTCTGCACAGCACTTACCACCATCTGATATAGCATATATTTTACTCGTTTGTTATTGTCTATCTCCTTCCACTAGAATGTAATCTCCATAAAGGCTGGGATTTGGGTCCACTGGATTAGCTGCTGCATCCCCTGAGTTTGGAACAGTCCCTGGAAAATAGTAGATGCTCAAAAAATATTTGTTACATGAATGAAATTACTGTTTAGTTATGAATTTCTGTCTTGTTTCTCCTCATGCTGAC